AGCCTCATCTTTATTGACCTGCTTACAGAAACTGCCTCTCTGGTTAACCCTTATTACATTGTCACAGCTAAGGTGAACTATCCATCAACGTGAGTGATGTTGAGTTGGCCACGCCCACCCAGTCACATGACCACCAAGCCCCACCTACCCTGCTGGTCATTACGGCAGGGAACCGGTTGTTAAACTATTTGAATCCCACCACTGACAGGATCACATGGCTTGGAGCTCCTGGGTGAAAAGGGCAGAGATGCTGAGAGTCCCTGAGTTTTATGCCCCCTCTGAACCTTGGACTTCCTGGAGCACAGGAAGAATATCCTGTTTGGTTGCTGTCAGAGGCTATAGCTAGCTTTGTAGGTTGTCTGTGTGCTACGTTTGGTTGAAACCTGGTGAGTGGTGCAGCGAAGGGCAATGAAATGGCTCTGCCTGAAGGGGGTATATCTTTGTTATGTAGAATAGGCTGGCTCAGGCCTTAAGGGCCCCTTGACAAAGGTGGGGGGAGAGCTATTAAGAGCGAGTCTGTCTCCTGCCTAAAAAACATCTTTCTCCATTTCTCATCCAGGAAAATATAATATTCTGCCTCGTTAATATTTCCTAGGAGATTTCATTCTTCCAGGAGAGAGGTGGGTGCTAACTTCCCACAGAAGGAAGGAAGATATTGTTAAAAAACCTGCACAATAAAGGCAGGATTACTTTGGATGTTCCCTGCCATCTAGCTTGGTCAAAAGAAGAGAGGCGGCCAGGGTGGTAACAAGGAAAACTGAACCGTAACATGTTCTGCGGAAATGGATATACAAAGGTTTGTCCGTCTGAGGCAAAGTATCTTTTGAGTAAACACAGCCGGGACTGAGTTCATTATTGCTCTTTTAGAAATATTGCTGCATAATCTCCATTTACATAATTGAAGGCTTATTGGTTCCCTCTTTTGTCTGCATCAAGGCTTTGTAACGACATGATGAAAAGCATCTGAGAGAGGAAAGCCAACATGGAGATACAAAAGAATAATTTGTTGGGCATATTAGTAATTATAAAGAGTAAGAGACAGGGGGGGGAAGGAACAGCAAAGAGATGTTTTTGCATACTTGTGGCTAACCTGGGGATGTTTGTTAATGCCACCATCTCCCAACGGGGTAGGTAGGATAATAAGATATCAGATCTGCGGTGCAAAAATCTGGAGGACCACTGAAATAAAAAACAAATTGTTATCAAGTTTGCCTGGAGTTTGTAAAGCCACAATTTGTTGTAGTGGTTAAGGATTAGACTAGAAACTAGGAGTTGAGTTAGGCCAGAGATACTAGAAATGGCAAATAGATTTTGGAAGCAGAGGTGGTATTCAGCAGGTTCTGACCAGTTATGGAGAACTGGTAGCAGAAATTTTCAGATTTGAGCTTGTGTAAATTTCACATTTCTTACCCAGATTCTTTCCATGTATCCAACATTATTGGTTCTTCAATGTTTTGAGCCCACTTTATCATACAATCTTTAACTAATTCTGTTTCCGAATCCATCTGTATTAATACATTATATATCCTCTTTATATGCATTAAGCTTTGATCTCTTATTTGTTTAAACAGATTATCCTCAACTTGAATAAAACCAATTTTTTGATCTATTTTCCACCTGGCCTGTAATTGCCCGTACTGGAACCATGTAACTAATGTTAGA